AGGCGTGTGCCACCACACACGGCTAATTTTTTGTATTTTTAGTAGAGACGGAGTTTCACCATGTTGGCCAGGCTGGTCTCGAACTCCTGACCTCAGATGATCCACCTACCTCGGTCTCCCAAAGTGCTGGGATTACGGGCGTGAGCCACCATGCCTGGCCAAATTAAATGATTTTTGGTGATCATTGAGGTTGCAGTTAAAATGGAGTGGTCAACTGGGCTAAGATGCATTCTGAAGATGGGTCAGTAGAGACAAAACTGCAGCTTATCTACTTGAAGGTCTGAACTAGAGGGGCTTGCTTTGCCCTCTCAGCCAGAGTTCTTTAAGTCCTACCTTTAAAGTTGATTACTGTCTGTCCATGTTCCCTCTCTTATAGTTGCATTTTACTTCATTGTTAATTGTATACACGTCTCTGTGTTCACCCTCACCATACTATAGATTCCCTTGGGGATTTTTTTTTTTTAAAAGTCCATTTCTACCTCCATCCCCATCTCACAATCAGTAAAAATTTCTAGGAGTGGGTCCTAGGCATCACTGTTTTTTTAAAGCTTCCCAAGCGATTCTGTGTGCTACAGTTGAAAAACTGCTGATCTGTAGCATAGTGAGCACCTCTGAGACAGAAAGTAAGTTTTACTCATTTTCGTGTTCCCAGAGTTTGACTCATTGTCTGGCACATAGGTAGCTTTCAGTAAGTGTTGGATGAATGAGAAATGAATGAACAAATGAAATGTGGCCAGGGAACTAGGCAGGCCCATGTGGGTAGCCTGATAAATTAATATTGCCTTTCTTTATAATGGATAATTACCAGACAAGTTATTTAACACCCTGTACCTATTTTGGAATTGTTAGATATTAGTGTGAAACTATTATCCCAGATTGGTTTAAATCAAAGTAGTGACATAAAATCTCAGGTGCAAAAATAGGTTGCAAAATTGGTGGGGCTGTTCTCTGAGTCTTGCTTGATTATATACCAGAGGTAGTATATAGTTAACTGTACCAATAAGTATAATATAATGGAGACTGTTGCTTTCAGGATAAAGGATTTTTGCTATCAATTTAAAGTAGACACTTCCAACTTTCACAGAATTAACAACACGGTAAATCTTATTTTTAAAATTTAATGGTATGACTATTCAAAACATCCTGCTTATAAGAATATTTAGTTCTTTCTCATGACTTTTTGAAACCGCTATAGGCTAGATGCAGTGGTTCACGCCTGTAATCTCAGGACTTTAGGAGGCTGAGGCAGGGGGATTGCTTGGAAAGCCAGGAATTTGATACCAGCCTGTGCTACCAAGCGAGACCCTGTCTCTACAGAAAGTTAAAAAAAAAGAAAAAAAAAAATTAGCCAAGCGTGGTGGTGCACTCCTGTAGTCCCTGGTACTCAGGAGACTGAGGCAAGAGGATTGCTTGAGCCCAGGAGTTCGAGTCTATAGTGAGCTATGATTGTGCCATGGTACCACAGCCTGGATTACAAGAGTGAGACCCTGTCTAAAAACAAACAAACAAAAAAACTCCTGCAGTAACTTACTGAATTGACTCTACAGATTGTGTTTACCACTTTTAGTGAGAGTCAAGTGAAAAGCAGTAGATATAAAACTTTTTGCACAAAGAAAATAACCTGGTAAGTCACTAACATAATGTATCATCATAATTAATTGGAATTTTCAATCTCAGATGTAGTGTATAGAGTACCCCAAACCTAAGACCTGATAACTAGTAGGTACCTTAATAAATGATAGTTCACTGCTTTATGCTCCACTTGTAGCTAATGCTGTGCTAAGGATTTAGAGAGTCCAGTTTATCTGACAGTTTAACAGTCTAAAAATGCATTATTGTTTCCACAGATGAAAAGAAGCAAAGAATTGATAACTAAAAATCATAGTCAAGAGGAAACAAGTATTCTTCGTTGTTGGAAATGTAGAAAATGTATAGCAAGCTCTGGTTGTTTTATGGAGTATCTTGAGAATCAAGTGATTAAGGTGAGTATTGGTAACTTCAGTCTTTGTTTCCTGGTAGAGGAGTGCTGTGGCTTATCCATACACATGCATACTTATTCTTCTCCACCTTATTAAGAATATTTATAGTTCTTTGTCATGACTCTTTGACTCTTACCTTATTTCACCTGACCCACTGAAAACATTCTAAAGTGGTATTCAAAAAGCATCCCCCTTCCACAGTTAAAATTAATTTTGCCTTTAATTACTAATGTTAATATGACATCAGTGTTTTAAGTGCAATGTTATAGGCATAAGCTGAAGATAATAGTCAATGTTTTTTATTACCACTATGAGTGAGCCTCAGTAATCACTGCACAACTAAATTCAGATTCCTAGTAAGAATTGGAAACTTGTTGTATAGGTTTTTTTTTTTTTTTTTTTTGTATTCACTATGGGCCTAGAAGAGAAAGTTCATGTATAATATAAAAGTAACCCATAGGAAAACCTGAATAATATTCAAGTGTATGTTTGTTCATCCTGGTAAAAAATGAGTGTTTTTAAACAACAAAAATAAAAATTCCTTCACTTCTCTAAGAGTAGTATCAAAGAGGCATGAACTAGAAAGTAATTAATTAATGGAGTTTGGAGGGAATTCTGAATTTAACAGAGAGAGTGACTGTAATCACCTGTCATTGTTTTCTTCTGCTTTTTTTGAGAGACATACTCAGCTTTTGGTTTTTGTTTGTTTCGTTGTTTTACCTCAGTTATATTTGTTAATGATAGTTTCCCTTCTACTTTAACAAATTAGCCAGTCTAAACTGATAATAGTAGATAACTTTGATTGGATACTTACTACATGCCGAATACTTATTTTTCTGAGATGGAGTCTTGCTCTGTCGCCCAGGCTGGAGTGCAATGGCGCGATCTTTGCTCACTGCAACCTCCACCTCCCAGGTTCAAGTGATTCTCCTGCCTCAGCCTCCCAAGTAGCTGGGATTATAGGCTCCTGCCACCATGCCTGGCTAATTTTTGTATTTTTTAGTAGAGATGGGGTTTCACCATGTTGGTCAGGCTGGTCTCGAACCAAATACTTTTTAATGACTCGAAATAACATTTTAATTGGGAAAAAATACAAAACTTTTTATGCTAAGAGTATTTTGGTGGATATAACTTATATGTAATACAAAAATTAAATGCACAGCTTGATAAGTTTTATCAGCCCTGCCATGAATCAGATCAAGAGATGCATTTGCATCACCTGAGGAATTTTTGTCCTGCCCTTCTGCAGGCAGTGGTCTCCTCACTGACGTCTTTCACCATAGTCTAGGTTTGCTTGTTCTTTACATTCCTTCAAATGGAATAATACAGCATGCACTCTTTTGTGCCTGACTTATTTTTGTCAGCGTAGTGTTTTAGAGATTTATGTTTTGCATGTGTCAGTAGTGTGTTCCTTTTTTCTCCTGAGCCGTGTGCCACTTATGAATATACCACAGTTTATCAATTTTTTTCTGCCCAAGGACATTGGCATTCATTCCGGTTTTAAGTTATGAATAAAACTGCTATCAAAATTTTTATAATTTTTGTGATCATGTTTTATTGTTTCTTTTTAAT